AATGTCTCCAGGACAGCCTCAGTGACACAGCAGTAACGCAACACTTCTCAATACGAAAGCCACATTGGCCAGTCCCTTTTCACATCACGAGGTCTCTCTGTATACACCTGTGATCACGTGTGCCCACGATCCTGGGCGGCTGAGGCTGGGGGAAGGTATGGAAGGAGGACCCTCGGGGGGGGTGACTGTCTCCTCTCTCTCATGGGAGAAACAAACAAGCTGTGAAATAACGCCTCCGGGCCCAGCTGCCAAGTGCAGCAGCGATGCTAGCGCCCTACAGTGCTGGAAGCCATAGGATGACCGTGATTCGGATCCCAGGTTGGCCTGGAAAACACTGTGGCCACCTGTGAGGTGCCCAGGACCTGGAGCTGCAGGGCTGGGGACAAGGGATCACAATGTGATGTCGAGGGTGTGTCCCTGTCCCTCCCCACCTCTGACATACATGTGCATGCACTATCCTAAGAACAAATGTCTTCTGATTGCCACCTGTCCCCTGGGGGATAAAAGCAACTCCAGTGAGAGTCTCTACTCTGCCAGGCAGAGTGTGACCAGCACTGTCAGTCACCCGAGGTCCAAGAGAGCCCAGAGCACAGAGCATCTGTCCTGGCAGAGACGGGTGGGCAGGGCACGTGGCAGAGCCGAGTGGCAGGTGGTCAGCTTCAGGCAGCCTGGCAGCGGGCACCAGGAGGCGTGGGTCAGGCTGGGAACCCAGCTGCTGGAAGCCCAGCGGTCACGTGGGGTCAGAATACAGCTCATGTGCCATCGAACCTGGGAACATCCTGTGATGATTTACTCCTCCTGTCCAGAACCAGGACTGGATCGGACAGGGCTTCCCTGCCCGTTAGAAGGGTACAGGGTCAGCTGAGAGTCAGACCATCCCTTCCACCCCTGAGAACCCGCACAGTGCCAGCCAGGAGAGCAAAGGGCAAGGCCAGGCACATAGCCAGGCTCTGCTACATGGAAATTAAGCCTAGAAAATACAATTATAAAGATATTATAAAACAAGCTCCACCACTTCAGAGCAAGGTGACCACCTTAGGTGGATTGCTTCTAAGCCTCGGGTCCTGCATCCGTGAAACGGGACGATAAGCCGATGACACAGTCCTTGTGAAGACAAAATGCAAAGTTCTAGTTATACTCGG